ATTGGCCAACTGATATTATAGAAAAATTAGCGGGCATGGTGTCCACATGCTGTAGTCCCAGCTACTCAGGGGCTGAGGCAGGAGGATTGCTTGATCCCAGGAGTTTGAGTTGCTGTGAGCTAGGCTGACACCATGGCACTCACTGTAGCTTGGCAAAAAGCAAGACTTGTTCTCAAAAAAAAAAAAAAAAAGAATTCTCATAAATCAGTAAGAAAATGTTCATCTCTTTAGTTATCAAAAAAATGTAATCTGAGATATATCATTTCTTTCCCATCAAACTAACAAATTAGACAGACTGGTATAAACCAGTGTAGAAAACAGATGCTCTCAAATGATGCTGGTAGTGAACATTTGATACAGCCCACTGAAAATACAATATGTTACTATTTACAAAATTTCAAAGTGAGGTGAGAGCCACTTGCTATAAACCCTAGCACTTTGGGAGTCACGGCAGGATGATGACAGGAGGATCATTTGAGGGTAGGAGTTGAAGATAGCCAGAGTAACACAGTGAGACCCCATCTCCACAAAAAACAGAAACATTAGCGTGCATGGTGGTGTATGCCTATAGTCCAGTACTGGGGCTGAGACAGAGGATTGCATGAGCCTAGGAGTTTGAGGCTACAGTGGCAGCCTAGGCAACAGTGTAAAGATCCTCTCAAAAAAAAGAAAAAGAAAAAAAAAAAAATGTGATTAAAATGTTCTTTATCTTAATTGTGATGATACATATACATTGATCAAATTGCATCAACTGCATACGTATATCGGTACATTTTACTTAATATAAACTATAGTTCCATAAAGCTGATTTGAAAGAATTTAAAAAGCAAGATCTTTCAACCAACAATCTACTAGCTGATGATCCTAGAAATATACCTATGTATAACACATGCAAGGATTTATTAATTCATTTTTTTCTTTAATTTATTTTTTTTGAGACAGAGTCTTACTTTGTCACCCAGGCTAGAGTGCCATGGCGTCAGCCTTGCTCACAGCCACCTCAAAACTCTGAGCTCAAGCAATCCTCCTGCCCTTAGCCTCCCAAGTAGCTGGGACTACAGGCATGCGCCACATGCCCGGTAATTTTTGTAATATATTTTTAGTTGTCTAGCTTAATTTCTTTTTATTTTTTTAGTGATAGGATGGGTCTTGTCTCTTGCTCAGGCTGGTCTTGAACTCCTGACCGTGAGAGTGATCTCTCCTTGGCCTCCCAGAGTGCTAGGATTACAGACATGAGCCATCGCGCCCGCCAATTCACTTTTATAAACAGTGGCAACTGAGAACCCAAATCATCATGAAAGTGGTATGTCCTATCATATACACTGCAGTAAAAGAACATACCACCAGGTCCTATGATACATAATTTAAATGTTACAAGTATAGCAAATAGCACAACAGAGCATGATGCCTTTTTATGTTCTCTCAGGCCAGGTACAATGGCTCAGACCTGTAATCCCAGCACTATGGGAGGCCCAGGTGGGGGATTGCTTTGCGGCAGGGTTCAAGACCAGATTGAGCAACTATATAAAACCCATCTCTACAAAGAATTAAGAATTAGCGCGGCGTGGTGGCTCACGCCTGTAATCCTAGCACTCTGGAGGCCGAAGCAGGCAGATTGCTCCAGGTCAGAGTTTGAAACCAGCCTGAGCAAGAGTAAGACCCCGTCTTCTACTATAAATAGAAAATTAATTGGCAACTAATATATATAGAAAAAATTAGCCGGGCATGGTGGTGCATGCCTGTATCCCAGCTACTCGGGAGCTGAGCAGTAGGATCGCTGAGCCCAGGAGATTGAGGTTGCTATGAGCCAGGCTGATGCCATGGCACTCACTCTAGCCTGGGCAAGAAAGTGAGACTCTGTCTCAAAAAAAAAAATTAGCCAGCGTGGTGGTACGTGTCTGTGGTCCCTGCTACTCAGGAGGCTGAGCAGGGAGGATTGCTTAAGCCAGGAATTCAAGCAACAGCGAGCTATGATCGCACCACTGCACACCAGCTGGACAACAGAACAAGACCCTGCCTCTAAATAAAAACTAAAAAAAAGGCCAGCGCAGTGGCTCACACCTGTAATCCTCACTATTAGGAGTCCAAGACGTGAGGATCGCTTGAGCTCAGGAGTTTGAGACCAGCCTGAGCAAGAATGAGACTCTGTCTCTAGTAAAAATAGAAAAGTAGCCAAGTGCTAAAAATAAAAAACAAAGTAGCTGGTGTGGTGGTGCACATCTGTAGTCCCAACTACTCAGAAGGCTGAGTCAGGAGGAATGCCTGAGCCCAGGAATTAGAGGCTGCTGTGAGCTAGGCTGATGCCATGGCACTCTAGCCTGGGTGAGAGAATAAAAGTGTCTCTAAAAAAAAAAAACTCTCTCTTTACATGTACATGACAGAAACATCAACGTAGTGCCTTTCCTTACAGACAATAATTGATGCCACTGCAAAGGCAAGAAAAGCAGGCACTTTATTTGCAGCTTGAAAAAAACCCTTGCAGTAACAACACATTCATATAGTACTTATATCAACAGAAATAAATGAGAGTGGTAAGGAGGGAGCCATAACCCATGTGGCATCTATCTGGCCAGGAGGAATCACACCAGGCACTCAGTGATCCTCACTGGACAGTCTGTTAGAAATAGAAAGCACCTTAAGCTTCTTAACAAGAAAATAGAGCTAAGCAGAGGGAATTATGATTATCTTCAGAGATGAAGAAACTCAGCACAGATGATCCTCATTCACTTCCATGAGTCAATAGGACTGTCAACACACTGAAAGTACGTCCAATGAGGCTGACACAGGCCGAAAAGCCAGAGAGGGCAAACAGGGCCAGTGCAGATTGTGGCCTTCACTGTAAAAGGCACTGAAGATTAATTTGAGCAAGAAGGTGCTTTCTCTTTTTCTTTTGGAGACAGAGTCTCACTCTTGGCCTGGGGTAGAGTGCCATGGCGTCAGCCTGGCTCACAGCAACCTCAAACTCCTAGACTGAAGCAATCCTTCTGCCTCAGCCTCCCAAGTAGCTGGGACTACAGACATGCGCCACCATGCCCGGCTCATTTTTTTCTATATATTTTTAGTTGGGCAATTAATTTCTTTCTATTTATAGTAGAGATGGGGTCTCGCTCTTGCTCAGGCTGGTTTTGAACTCCTGACCTCAAGCAATCCGCCTGCCTCGGCCTCCCAGAGTGCTAGGATTACAGGTCTGAGCCACTGCGCCCGGCCTATGAGAATTCTTTATATGTTCTGGATATTATTCTTTACTATAAAATCAGAAACTTTTTTTCCTACATTCTTATATGAAGATAATATTTTAGAGTTGAAGAACAATCTTAGATCATGACCTAGATTCTAGGTCTCTGGTTTCCAAACCTGGCACATACCACAATCAACCAGGGAGCTTTTAAAAATTGTGATTGAGGCCAGGTGCAGTGGCTCCTACCTGTAATCCTAGCCCTTTGGGAGGCCGAGACAGGAGGATCATTTGAGACCAGCTTGGGCAACAGAACAAGACCTCGTCTCTACAAAAAATTAGAAAAATAAGCTATGTGTGGTAGTATGCACCTGTAATCCCAGCAACTTGGGAGGCTGAGGCAGGATTCCTTGAGCCCAGGAGTTTGAAACTGCTGTGAGCTATGATTACACCATTACACTCTAGCCTGGGCAACAGATCAAGACCCTGTCTCAAAAAACAAGTCTGATTGTTTGGGTAGTCTGCTGTACTATTAGCTGCATGACTGATGGAGGCAGCCAAGGACTAATTCCAGGTAGAACCACTGCCCCACTTTCTATAGCATGCTGTTTGTGTGTGTCTTACACTTGGCCAGACCCTGTGGTTGAGAGTGGTGTACAGGTGACACAGACTGGGAATTGGTGTTCAGCTCTGGTAGGAAAGGCACACATATGCAGATACCTACACCACATCATTACTCACAACCCTGGCCGTGGTATGGTCAAGGAGTATCTGAATAGATCTGTTACAAGAGTACCTCTGGTGCTTTGTTTGCCAGGTCAACTGCATTGTGACTCCCAGAGATAGTGACTTTAGGTTGTCCTGGACTCCAAATTGAATGGTTTTTCCATTGACTACTTATAATCCTAGAGATTTTTACTTAATTGTAGAATAAGTAACATTCAATAATGAATAAAATTTACAGTTTAATCAAAGATGGCTTTGAGGCTGAGCACGGTGGCTCACACCTGTAATCCTAGCACTCTGGGAGGCTGAGGCGGGAGGATCGTTCGAGGTCAGGAGTTCTAAACCAGCCTAAGCAAAAACGAGACCCCATCTATACTATAAATAGAAATTAATTGGCCAACTAATATATATAGAAAAAATTAGCCAGGGATGGTGGCACATGCCTGTAGTCCCAGCCACTTGGGAGGCTGAAGCAGGAGGAT